ATGAGAGAGCACAAAGTGGATAGATTTATATAGAACATTTAGGGACGAACTCCATGATAGTGGACCCTATAACATGTGTGTTATACAATCAGGGGATCCTTTGGTTTAGTGGGAGTTAGTTATTGTTGTTACTTATGTTATATGGTTAATAGTATATATACATACTCATATATTTGTATTACATTCTGATCAAAAATAAAGTTTGGTTATTCAGTTCATTACACTTTGTATGATAATACTGATCTCATTAAAGTAAGGAGGACCAGTTGAAAATTGACATGTATTAATCACCTTCATGTGATTTTCATTATGCACATTTCATGATTAATGTATGTCATTTAGTTGTGTTTATATTTGTGATCATTGATGGGTTTAATTATGATTGATATAATGAAAACCGTTTTGGTTCTATATATTAATATAATTGATGGACGAGATGAGGATATGTCCAATATTTATAATGGAAATTTTTGATCTCATAAAGGCTAACACATTTATAGGGTTACATATATGACTAGTGGGAGATTGTTAGAATTTTATTTTTGGGTCATACATGTAATAAATGAATGTGTTAGAACCAATGTTTTAAAAACAGGACCGAACCGGTTGGTTCAACCAGTTGGACCGGGAACCGGAGATGAATTCGGGTGGGTCAATTTTTCAAAACCGCTAGTGGGTCAAAACTGGAGTTAAATTGAAAAAAGAGAATTGAACCGTCCAAAATCATTCGAACCAAAGAACCGGAGTCGGTTTTGTAAAACCGCCCGGTTCAAAAAAAATTATCAAATTGACCATTTTTTTTAAAAATTAATATATAAATATCAAAATTTAACACACATTTTCCAATCACAAAAAAGAATTCCGTGTATTTTTTACAACCATACAAACTTCTATGTTTTGTCACCTTATTATAGTTTTTCTTTCAACCACACTCAATCATCATCATCTCGTCTCTTTCAAACATAGTCACAATGTCCAACTCTATTGATTGTCGTTCAAGTCAATATTGTTGTTTTTAATTAAGATTTATTTGTCGTAGTTCAACTCAAATTCGATTTTTTGTTGTTTAATGAAGTATATTGTATTATTTATATTTTGGTATTCAATCTTATTTAATTTAGGTATTAATTATTTGAACTTTATTTTAGTTAATATATTCTATTATTTTAATTTTGGTTTAAATTATTTTAATTTATTTTATTGTAATTCTTTAGTTTGGTCAAAATATTCTTAAATGATGGTCGAAATGAAGTGTAAAATTATGTTATGTTATGTATTATTGATAGTGTTGTATTAAATTTGTAATTAATTTTTGAAATACTTATTTTATTAAGTTGAAAACATATAATAATGTGTGACACATCTATGAAATTTAGTTTCATATTATTATTTTATTTAATAAACGGTTCGACCGTTGGTTTAACTAGTTTAACCAATTGAACCTTAAACCGTGAGTTTCACTGTTTCGATCTCCGGTAATATTGATTAGAACTATTATTTAATTAGTCAAATTAAAGTGATCTATTTAATATAAGGTTTATGACTGTGGATATAATTGTCATGAAAAATATTATATAGATACAAAAGTCTTATTTCTATTTTTTTGATGGGTAAAATTGGAATAAGAAAACTTGAATAATCATAACCCTTCATTAAAGGGCATGAGATTCTAAACTTGAACAAACATGACTCTTCATAAAAGGGTATGAGATTCTTATAAATAAATGGTTATGGTCCCCAATTGTAGACATTAGATATTCTCTTTGTCTCATTGAAAGAGGAACTAATGAATTAAAAAAATCTACAATTGAAAGGTCATTGTTTTATTAAGATTATCATCTTTTCATTGAAATTATATAATCTTAAAGATACGCTTCCGTATTCTATTTCATCTTAAATTGAGTATAAATCAGTGTTTTAAAAACTGGACCGGCTGGTCGGACCGGGAACCGGCCTAGTAACTGGCCTAGTTTACTAGTTCGATCGTCTGTGTCATCAAATCGGTAAAAACCGGGTTGGACCGGCAAAAACCGGATTTAGAGTTGGACCGGTTCAATTGCATTTTTTATTTTTTAATTAAAATTTAAATGCAAAAATTATAAAAATTAAAATTAAAAAAAAAATTGTTAAATGCAAAAGTTAAATGCAAAATTCAAATGATATTGGTGTGATATTAGTTATTCTGATAACAATTTTATTATTTTAATCTATTACTATATGTTAATTGTTTAACTCTCTAATTTATTTGTTGTTACAGATCAATTAAATTTGGATGAGGTTGATGTCGAGGATGATGAACAACTTAATTCTGGAGAAAACAACCAAAATAATAATATCATTGATAGGTAAAATGTTGCAGATGCGATTGATTTTACTGCAGATGATTTTGATATGAAGAAGGAGATCCCAATATTGAAATAATTTTACCTCCTTGAAACTAAACTTAAGTAGACATTGGAGTTATTTTGTTATAAATTATTCAATTATATTATGTTGCAATTAGATTTTGTAATTTTGTATTATTTTGTTATATGTGATACATTTGTTTAAAATTTGAATTTAAATTATGAATTTGTGAATTTATGATATGATATTTTCAAAAAATTTAAGTACTAGTTATATTTTTTTAGAAACTGAATAATCCGATTCGACCGATTTTATATTTATATAATGACAAATCTATTCAACCGAGTTATCCGGTTTAGTCGTGCGGTTCGACCAGTGACCCAGTGGTTCAACCGATAAACCAATGACCTAATACCCTCACCGATTCGATGACCGGTCCAATTTTTAAAACCCTAATATAAATTAATATTAATTAATAGAATTCCAACATTAAAATTCTACCGTTCTTCAATTAAAATTCTACCGTTCTTCAATTCTGCATGAAAGAGTGACAATATAAATGAAATATAAAAAAGTAGGGTTAATTTGAATATCAATATTCTATAGGTAAATCACACAAAGTATGAGTTCTTATATTTTCTTTTAATAGTTTAATGGCAGAAATTTTAGCTTAGACAAATAAATGAAATGCTCTCTGAATTCGAATTTTTGGTTTAATAATTGAATTATTGTTTTATTATGACATATGACTTAACTATTTAAAGATTAATATATTCAACATTCTTTTTTAAATTGTTTCAAGTTTATGTTAAAAAAAATTGATGGGCTTCTTTTAATCCAAAACTTTAAAATATTAAGTATATGAGTTTTTTCATTTATAAAATATTTAATGTTCTCCTTCTTATTACTTATTTAACGTGATATTCTTATTCATATTTGATATACCTATCATAAAAAACATAAAATAAGTGAATGTTTAATACCCTTCTTGATATTTATTAAAAGAAAATGGATAGGTTGCATAATTAATGTATTTAAGTATGTAGATTAAATACACTGAAGTAAATTATTTTTTATAATAAAAATTATAAATAATATTAATAATAACTAGACTAAATAGAAGAAAAAAATTACAACATTCTAAATAGTCGAAATTACAAATGATTAAAATAATTCTCACATTTTTGAAACTATGAATCACTTGATAAGGGTGGGATCAATTTTTTCTCAAATAATTAGTAGTTCAAATTTATTTTTTAAAAATAAACAAATGAGATATGGTGGATTAAAATTCTGGTCTTTTTATTTGATACTTTTATATAATTATCAATTTAGTTGGGTTAACGAAACCAGAGTGGAATCAATCTTTGTTAATGAATATTTTTATAATATAAAATATTATTAAAAAAAATATATTATTTTTTATTTGTTAATTATACTCTTAAAGTTTAGACTTGTCTCCTAATTTTTTTCGCCTCTAATTGATCCTTTAAACTTTTTAAATTGTGTTATGTTAGTCATTTTTGTTTAATTAGCGACGAAAAATTTTAAAACTAGTTCGTTAAATTTGTTGTTGATTAACTTAGTTTAAAGAGTTAATAATCAATCTAACACAAAAAAAAATAATTAAAAAATCAATCTAAAGTTTAAAAAAATGAAAATATATAAACAAAAATTAAATTAAAAAAAACAAAGAAAAGGATGGTGGTAGTAGCAGTAGATGATGTAGAAAAACAACAAAGAAAAAGAAGTAACTATGGTTAATTAACTTTTGTCCGGAAATCAAGGAAGTTGTAACCATGGTTAACAATGATGAATCCAACCCAGCTACTAGTGTGAAGTGGGGCATTGTATTCCTCTATAAAGCAAAAGAGAAAAAGTTCAAAGCAATTATCAACTCCAATATCACAAACTCAACCAATTAACCAATTCTTCCACTTCAATCCATGACCCACATCACAAATCCCCAATTCCTTTCTTTGTAAGTCTCAAACTTTCCATTTTTTTCTTCTTAACTATTCTGGCTGTTTCCAATTTTTCTTGCTTCCATGAAATGGTAGATCCTAAGTAAGTTTTTTTTTATGATTCCTTTATCTTTTATTTTTATCATAACAATTTTGCTACTTCAAGTTTTGTTTTTTTGGTAGGTTTTGCTGATGAAGAGGCCACCCCCAATGCTTATAATTTAATTTTTGTCTGCTTGAAGCTTTGAAATCAAATTATAAGCTAATTGGGTTTTCAAAGATTGTTGCTTTTCACTTTATGGTTTGATGTCTTTGTTTGAATTCCTTTGTTCTTTTTTTAACCTAATTCTTTTAAGATTTTGGGGATTGGTTTTCTAGTTCAGGCTTTTGCGTGACAAACTTTCATTCTGCATATCCATTTTCAATGTGATTTTGTTCCTATTTCCATGTACAATTCAGATATTTTTCAAGTAATTATTTAGTTAGTTAGACTTTTAGGCCACTCTATTATTTCAGTCAATTCAATCCATTTTGGTTGATTAGTTATCACAGCACCTTATTTGTTTTCTTTCAACTTATATTCAAGTATACCCTTTTGATGTGTTTTTGCAGGTAAGTTATCAACAAGACCAAAAGAGTTTCCATTCATAAAGTGTATCACTATTTAAGTGATTTTTTTTTAAAGTCAAAATGGGCCTATCAAGTCTTCCAGCACCATCTGAAGGAGTGTTGTGCATAATTCTAGTAAACACTGCCATGTCAATATCCATATTCAAAGGGATTATCAAAACCATCCTACATATCATTGGCATCATTGCTTCACCACCATCCTCCTCAACTTCAGACGATTCATTTGAGTTCCATCTCAGTCCTTCAGATGATTTCATTCAAGAGTTCAGAAGCATGACACCAACACTGAGGTTTGAGAGTGTGTGTAGTAGCTGCAAAGAGCCTGAACATGATTGTTCAGTGTGTCTCACTCAATTTGAACCAGAATCAGAGATAAACTACTGTTTATCTTGTGGACATGTTTTCCATAAAGTGTGTTTGGAGAAGTGGTTGGACTATTGGAACATTACATGTCCACTTTGTAGGACTCCTTTAATTCCTGAAGATGATGCATCTTGCTTTTCATGAGCAATGATTAAAGTATGCACAAGGTTCTTCATGTACAGTGTATATATTTGTGACAATTTTTGATGTTCCTATGTATCTGACTTTCTTTTTAGCTTTCTTAGTGCTTTGCCTTTTATGATGTAGAGTTAGTGGAGGCTTTTGTTTTCTTTTGTTTACTATGTTTTTTTCTCTGTATCTGATGTTGCCATATGTGAGATCAGGGATATACTTTTTTTGGTTATTTGTGTTTTGTCCATAATGTCCTCCCTCCTTGGTAGCTACTGTAAGATATTTTAAAAGCCCTTTTTCTTTTTTGGAACACTTTATGATTATAATGAAGCATGTGATGAGTTAGGCTATAAAACTTTAGTTATTAGAATATTGTAAGATATTTTGCTGCATGATGTGTGTTTGAAAGAGTGGATATAATTTTTAATTATATATATCTACTCAGATTTGTAATAAATGATTTTATTATCCTGTCACCGATGGTACATAATAAGAAAAAGAAAATTTGCCTTATTTATGATGAATAATTTGGTTTGAATTGAACAGCATCTCTGTCTATTTATTTGCCTATCTGGTTGTCTGATGTTGACATGGATAAGAATGGCCTTGATGTTATGACAGTTATTTTTTGGACCAGTTATGACTCAATTGATTCTTATTTTTAATAGACCAATTAACAAAATATCTAAGAGTGGACAGCCATTTGGGTTTAAGTTTAAAAGTGTTGCGCAGTTTTAACTGCAGTTGAATATATTTATAAAATATAATTTTACTTAATTTTTGAATCGGTTTGAAGGGTTGGATTTGAATGGTTGTAGTGAATTCGGATACTTTGATCGGATTATAGACTTTTTGAAGTGTCTCAATATTCCAACATGCTATCGATTTCAAATAAAAAATTGAGGAGACGTGATTTCTGAATGTATTGATAATTAAATTTGTATTTAATTGTGGTTTATCTATTGGTTATCTAAATTTCGTTATTTGTTAAATTAATATTTTTTTTTGTCTTTTTTTATGTTTTATCATATACACGCTATAAACTAATTTTATATTTTAAATTAAAAGATTCAAAATTTTGTATTTCAAAATTAAAAAAAAAAATTGTTTACAAATTCTCTAATTATCTAAAATAGTGTTCTAATACTTTACAAATTATATGGACTTTTATACGTTAATTATATGAATTATAGGGTTTTTGTATTTTCTATTACTCTTTTGGTTATGCTTGTGATGCACCTCAATTAAGTCATGCTAGTGCTAGCTACCTAACAGATTCTCATTCTCAAGTATTTATTAATTATTTATCTAATAGTATCAATTTAAATAATTATACATCTTTTATTTGTTTGAATGCATGCATGTAAGTGTTTGAAAATAAAAAAATTCCAACTATTTATTTGATTTTTTGAATGAGTAATTATTAAAGTTAATTTTGTTTACATAATTTCAGGTTGCTTCAGATTGATTGTATATTTATTCAAAAGGATTTCGAGATTTTCTGATGTACACTAAAGAAAAAATTATATGAACTGTATTCATGTTTTATTTTCTATATGGATTATATATATATATATATATATATATATATATATATATATATATATATATATATATATATATATATATATATATATATATATATATATATATATATATATATATATATATATAATAATCAATTTTTCTGTACTGACAAATACTCATGCTTGAACATTTTTATTTTTTAATATAAAATATAGAATTAAAATATTTCAGGTGGTTTATCAATTATTTGATAGTTTGCAATAAAATTGATTTTTTTAAAAAATTGGTTTTAAAACTGATTTTTTTTTATAAAATTGATTTTAAAACGGATCTTTTTAAAAAAAAATAAAAAACTAGTTTTGAGATAAACCGGTTTAAAACTGATTTTTAAAAAAATTGTTTTTTTTTTAAAACCGATTTGAAATTGAACCAATCTACTTGTAAATCGGTTTTAAAAAAATAAACCAATTTTATATAAACAATTTTAAAATTCAAACAAAATTATATATGTGATTTAATTTAATTTAGTTTATAATCCATGCATACCCCTATACTTAAACATATTGCAAGGAGTAAATCCGCCTGAGATATTACAAGAGATTTGATGAATTATTTTGTGTTTAGCTTATTCAACTCAGGTGCATTTTCAAAACGAATAGCTTATTCAACTCAGTATACAAATTAGATACACATTTCTCGTCTTATTTTAAGTGAAAATTTCTTATTCTATTTCAGGATTTTCTCAGACAAGACTAATTTACTTTAGTTAAATATTAAAAATAATAAAAATAATATTAATTAAAAAATAAAATTAAAAGTTATACATTAAAAATTAAAATTGATTATCGACATTTATTTATTCTAATTATTATCACATCACATTTCAACTAGTATAACAAATTATTTAAGACATAAATATATAATAAAATAGGTAATACTCTGACCTGTAAATTAATTTTTAAGTTAACATAATTATATAATAATGTAAAATTATTTTATACTATTATTGCATAATTAATATTTTAAAAATTGGATCAGGAAAACTTTCAGTTTAAAGTTCAATTGTTTCAAACGGTTAAACCTACGGTTAAACCGTTTATTAAATAAATTAATAATATGAAAATAAATTTCATAGATGTTTTACACATAATCATATATTCATAACATCTTAATAAAATAAGAATTTCAAATTTATAACGGAGTTATAAAATTTTAAAAATTATATGGTTGTAAAATACCACTGATTTTTTTTTTATGGTGGAAAAATATATGTTAAGTTTTGATATAGATGTTTTACACATAATCATATATTCATAGCATCTTAATAAAATAAGAATTTCAAAATCATAACAGAGTGATAAAATTTTAAAAAATTATATGGTTGTAAAAGTCATTGAATTTTTTTTTTTTGATTTTTTTTTGTAATTGAGAAATATATGTTAAATTTTGATATTGACATATTAAACTTTTTTAAAAAATAAAAAATGTCAATTTGATGTTTTTTTTTAACCGGACGACTTTATAAAATCGGCTCCGCTTTTTTGATTCGAATGATTTTAAACGTTTCAGCCCGATTTTTTCAATTTTAATCCGATTTTGATCTACTAGTAATTTTGAATGATTGATTCAACCGAAATCATTTTTGTTTTTTGATCAAATTGATTGAACCGGTCGATTTCAGTTCGGTTTTCTAAACATTGTGCATAACCATTAAACTATAAGGTTTTATTTGAAAGTTTGGAGAGTAGGGAAAAACTTCTGAAAATAAATTTTTATAAAAAAAAAAGGAAAAATATTTACATTTTTTGAAAATTTGATTTGTATTTATCATTATTAACTTTTAATTTTCAAAATACTATAATAACATAAAATATAATTTAAAAAATTATATAAGTTCTCTAAAACCATCTTTTAATACAAATTTAAGTTCTCCCGAATTAAATAATTTTATATTATCAATAAACCGATCAAAATCCTTTAATTCTTTTCATTTAATTTTTCTTTTTTTTTCAAAGTCATGTTTTCTATTCCCCTTCGAACACCCAAACAAATCTTAACTATACTCCTAGAATATATATTTATTGTAGAATTTGTTTTATTTTGTTCATGCAAATAAGTAGTTTTATTTTAGTGAGTAATAGTATGTGATAGGATTTTTCTTTTAGTAATTTCTAGGGGATTTAAGTCCATGGATTTTACAGTTTTTCAAATCAAAACATCTTTAAAATGAGTGTCCCATCGGAAAAAAAAAAACAATTTTATCCTCTAACAAGTTATATCTTGAAATCTTTATTACTTTTCTTAATGGATTATTATATGTATCATTTTTTAGCACCATTATCCAATCTATTCAACATACTGATCTAATTCGAATATTAATTCTGAAATCAAGTGGTTTCAACCCCTTAAATTCAACACTAATCACCATTAAACCAACTAACAATTAATATATGTCACTTTTAAAAAAACTCAAAATTGAACAGCATAACATAATAACTTCAATGTAAAACAATATTTTAATCATCTTCTAAATATGTATTAAAGATTTTGTAAAATAAAATTATTCATAAAATTATATGTTATTGTTTACACTTTTAGGCTGAAAATATTTTACAAAAGATATCTTTTGAAAATCACACCAATCTTTTAAATCATCCTTCTAAACACAGTTAATACACACAGGTTTTCATCTTCTGATCATATGCGTCTAACATTTTGAATCATCTTCTGATAACCAAATATTAGAGTTGAAGAATACAACAAAATACTTATAGGTTAAGTCTTGCAAAATGTCACAAAGAACTTCATATCTCAAAAAACTGAATTCTTTTATTGCAGCACTAATCATTGGAAAATTGGTGAATGGTTTTGATGCTGCATGAGAACTACTCGTCACAAGATGTGAAAATATACAAGATAAAGCTCTAATGAACAATCCACCCAAAATGTACAATGTCTGAAGACAATTAGACATGATCATATGCCTCGGGTGCAACCCCGAACTACTTGGGAAATACACCTACAAAGCCGAATGATTCTTGAATACCCGGCACTCACACTCTCAGCTGCAGTTCTTATTTCATTGACAAGCAACGATAGAAGAGCCTTTTGGTCCCGATTAGCTGTAGAATCGTATATTTGTGATGGAAGAACCTCTGCAGGATAGGCCCCGCTGCTCAAACCATTTGATAAATCAGTACCTTTGATTACAAGTTACAAATACCAAGAAAAATAGACTTCAAGCAGGGATAGCACTACATTTAAGAGGTTGGGGAAGAGAAGAGATGACTCAACAAAGAGTTGTTATGAAGAGGAAGAAAGAGTGGGATGATTTTTACTTTTGGATGATGAGCATAAAACACAAAAGTTGTCTCCTATTTCATTAGTAACAAAATTCAAGGTTTATGGCTTATGTATTGTCTTGTTCCATGATCATTTTCAAATCAAACATAGAATAAATAAATTATTTGTAAAAACATAATTTTTCAGCAAAGCAAAGACATATTTAGCAACAAAGAATTAACTATGCAACGGAAAAAAACTAAAGGTTAATGTTAAAAAATTTGCAGGATTACCATTTTAAGCATGTCATATCAAGAATCACTTGCACCTTCTTCCCACCAAGGAAGTCAATGAAAGATAGCTGCAAATCAAGTTGATGAACTGCAAAACCAGTATGAAATAGACAGTGTGAACTACCTGCTTGATCTAAAGTCAGAAAATGGCAATTAATTACAGAAGGACGTTCTGAAGATAAAAGGTTCATATTACAATTTTGAAAAATTAAAGGCTGGATCGGCCATTTTGATGAGAAAAGGCCAGTTTGATGGGGTAGTCGACGAACTAGTCAAGTACCCTGTCCGTTCAATCTCAAAAGACTGACCGATCACAAAACCAGTGAGAACAGGTCAACTTAGTAAAAAACAACCAGAAACGCGGTAATGGAGGTATCTTCATTATAAGCTGCTTGAACCAATACTATCCTTTTCTTTCTTTTAGTCCAATCAAATATATCATAATAGATTAAATATGTTTATACTCCTTACTCCTTATAAATCATGCCCCTTCAAATTCAGTTTCTAAATAAATTTTAATCACTTTTGGTTCTAATTTTGTTTTATATAGGAACTATTTTGAAGGACAAAAGGCGTCCATTCTTTGTAAAAAGATTTCATAAGGACTAAACGTGAAAAATCATGATTTTATAAAGACTAAAAACATACTTAACTCTATAATTATTTATCTAAGGCTTAATGCAAACTTACCAAGACTGCTGAATGAGGTTTACATATGCATTTGGTTCAAATATATTATTTAGCCTCTTATTATTGACTAGCTTTTGTTCTGCAAGGCATATAGTATGGTTTTAAGTTAACTTTATTTCTTATAATTGTATATGTGTTTACTATTTGATATATTGTAGTTCATTATCAACAGTTCAACAATGGTTGGAGTTGAACTAGTAAATAACACTCTTTCAATGGTTCAATTACTTCCCCCATTTGATGTTTTTAACATTAACACATAGTACAAAATTTAGGGTAGAGATGAAATTTGCTAACCTGACTGAGAATTGAACTTAGCCTCGACCAAATTTCCAATCTCTATCCGAGCTAACTGAACCTCCTCAACCACATCTAGCAAATTACTTAAAAGTGAACCCGTTATCTGCATAAAATAGCCCGTCAGCTACAGCACACTATGAGGTTGTAAAAGAAAACTTTGAGCCCAAGAAATAGAAAGCAAAAGGATAATAGAAAAGATTACTGGAGATAGTGTCATTGAAATTTAGGTGGGCAGGTCGATACAAATATTCTTTGGGATATAGGAAGATATAGAATCATGCTACATTTCTATACTATAGTATTAGATGCCCATGTTCATCAAACGTACATGAGTACACCCTACTAGAATATCTAAGAAATATATTGATAGAACAGAGGTATATATTAAAGAAAAGTATTTTATTAATTAATATGAAAGTAAAATAAATTCCAGAGCTATTGCTCCTCAGTCAGAGAAACTATTCTCTCACTGCCCAAACCCTAAGGTCAAAAACAGAAAATCAATTAATGCCTAACTACTGCCCCATACACTCCTCTTTATATGGAGAATAATCCCTAAACTAACTCCTATTTATATGGAGAATAATACCTAAACTAACTCCTATTTATTTGTGGAGTTTCCTATTCTTTCTCACATATACCCTCCATTGTTTAGGTCCAATAATATCTCTATTAACTAACACATTCCCATCATCATTTGTGGGATCCGATCCATTCCTATCATCACCCCCACCTACAACATTAGCCTTGTCCTCAAGGCGCAGATCAGGGAATTGACTCTTCAGCAACAGTTCCTCTTCCCAGGTAGCATCTCCAACATCCATCCCTTCCCATTGAATCAACCATTCTCTCTTATGTTGTCCACCATCAAATTTGTCCCTCCATGACACAACCTTAGCCGGAGTAATGTCCCCTTTTTCTGACTCTAAACTGATAGGTAGCTGAATTGTAGCAGTATAGTTGCCCACCGCTTTCTTCAATTGCGACACATGAAAGGTAGGATGTATTTTAGATGTTGGTGGTAACTTCAACTTATAAGCAACTTGCCCTATCTTCTTTATGATTTGATACGGACCGAAAAATCTAGGGGCCAGTTTTTGATGGATTCTTTGCACAACCGATTGTTGTCGATGAGGACGTAATTTGAGGAAAACCCAGTCACCCACCTCAAATTGCACTGCCTTGCGTTTCTTGTCAGCTTGGAATTTCATGTCCTCCTGGGCTTTGAGTAAATTAGTTTTTAATTGACGCAACGCCTCATCTCTGTCCCTTAACAGGGACTCCTGTGCTACAGCTTCCACTCTGGTTTCACCCTCCAAAAAATGCACCAACACTGGAGGTTTTCTACCATATACCACCTCGAAAGGGGTGAACCCGGTAGACACGTGAAATGTGGTATTGTACCACAGTTCTGCCCATGGAATCCAGTGTGCCCATGTCTTAGGTTGATCTACTAATTTGAACAACTCTTTCCAAAAAATACTCACAAACAAGGGGTCACGATCACTAAGAATAGACTCCGGAATGCCATGTAATCTAACCACTTCCTTCACAAAAACAGCAGCTATTGAGCGAGCAGTAAATGGATGTTTAAGAGGAATGAAATGGCTGTATTTGGAGAGACGGTCCACCACAACCAATATAGCTTCAAATCCATTACTTTTTGGCAAACAAGTGATGAAATCCATGGATATCTCACTCCACACCATAACCGGAATGGGAAGAGGTTGTAGTAATCCATTAGGAGTCGTTGCCGCATATTTTTGTCGTTGACAAGTATCACAAGCTTTCACAAAATCTTGCACCCTCCGCATCATCCCTTGCCAATATAAAGTTCCTGCCATTCTCCTATAAGTGCGTAGGTATCCGGAGTGACCCCCACTTGGAGAAGAATGAAAATCTTTGAGTAACTCCTCAATAAGTGGCGAGTTAGCCGGTATAACTAACCTATTTTTGTAGAATAAGATGCCACCTTTTAAAGCAAAACCAGGTTTAGCATTAGGATCTTTTTGAATAGCTTCCATAATATTTTTAAGCAAAGGATCATTTGATACTTCTTGTTGTAGTTGGCTGCTCTGCTGCCAAATAGGGTAGGATTTAATCGCTTGCATTTCAGCATTCTCGTGCTGTCTAGATAAAGCATCAGCCACTTTGTTTTCCACTCCCACCTTGTACACCACCTCAAAGTCAAAACCCAATAACTTAGCCATCCATTCTTGCTGATTTGCTGTGGTAATACGTTGTTGCAACAAGTGTTTTAGGCTCTTTTGATCAGAATAAACCACAAACCTCCTGCCTAACAAATAATGTCGCCAATGTTGAATAGCTAACACTAAAGCCATTAACTCCTTATCATAGGCAGATTTGGATAACCTAGATGAATCAAAAGCCTTGCTAAAATATGCAATAGGATGCTTCGATTGTAACAATACTGCACCAACTCCTTTTCCCGAGGCATCACATTCAATTTCAAAGGGGAACTTGAAATTAGGCAGGGCTAAAACTGGGGCAGTTGTAACAGCTACTTTCAATTTCTCAAAAGCTTCGGCAGCTGCCGGATTCCAGCTAAAACCATCCTTCTTTGTCAATTCTGTTAAGGGTTTAGCAATTTTTCCATAATTCGCTATAAACTTTCGGTAATACCCCGTCAACCCCAAAAAACCTCGCACTCCTTTGACATTCCTAGGAATAGGCCATTGTAACACACTGCTGACCTTGGCAGGATCAACAGCAACCCCTGCTTTGGAAATGACATGACCCAAATATTCTACTTGGTGCTGACCGAAAGTGCATTTCTTCCGATTTGCCACAAACTGATGCTGCTTCAGAATCTTAAGAACCACCTCCAAGTGCTGTAAATGTTCAGCCCAACTACTACTGTATACTAGGATATCATCAAAAAAAACCAGGACAAACTTCCTTAGAAAAGGCTTGAAAATTGCATTCATCACCGATTGAAAAGTTGCAGGAGCATTGGTGAGGCCAAACGGCATTACCAAAAACTCATAGTGACCCTCATGAGTCCGAAAAGCCGTTTTATGAATATCCTCTTCCTTCATCCGAATTTGATGATAACCGGATTTGAGATCAAGCTTAGAGAAATAACTACAGCCATGTAACTCATCTAACAATTCATCTACAACCGGAATAGGATACTTGTCCTGAATTGTGACCTTGTTGAGTGCACGGTAATCTACACACATACGCCAAGATTGATCCTTCTTCTTGACCAAAATGACGGGACTAGAGAACGCGCTGGTGCTGTTTCTAACCACCCCTTGTTGCAATAGGCTCTGAATCTGTTTTTCAATTTCATCCTTGTGTACATGAGGATATCTGTAAGGTCGCACACTTACCGGACCCGCACCCTGGAAAAGGTCAATTGAATGACTAGTGTTTCTTGACGGAGGAAGACCTTGGATTTCTTTAAACACAATAACAAAATGCTCCAACAATCCTTCCAACTCCCTAGTCTGTTGATCCGAGACACACGACACCGGTGAGCCTAACACCTCCATCAAGGTAGGCCATTCACAGCCTGCTATCATTCGAGAAGGAGTGATAATGCTTTGGAAAGTAGCCATCTTATCATCTACAGCCTGACCAAGTAGTTTCACCATCCTGCCTTTATGGTTGAACTCCATAGACATTTCTTTCCAATCCATGGTTACCTTCCCCAACGTTTCTAGCCACACAACTCCTAAAATCAAATCCACACCTCCTAACTCCAATACATAAGCATCAAAGCAAATCTGCACTGATCCCACTTTCATCTGAATTCCATTGCATCTACCCCTAGTTAGGACACGATGACCATCTCCTAACTTAACACCCAAAGGATTAGAAGGCACCATAGACAATCCCAGGGCTTCAACCACCTTAGGTGATATGAAATTATGTGTGGCTCCACTGTCAATAAGTACCAGAATTAATGCACCGTGTAAACATCCCTCCAATTTCATCGTCCGGACCTGATTTGGATTAGTGGATACACCAAACAGCCCGATGGTTTTACATTCTAATTCCTCTGGTGTGAGCTCTTCTTCCGTCGCAGCCTCCAATACCACAATCTCGCCTGCATCGTTAACAATTTCGTCATCCCCCAAGATAATCAATCGTAATTGTCTTGTTGCACATTGATGGAGAGGATCCCATCGTTCGTTGCAACGAAAACAGAGTCCTTTCGCACGACGCTCATTAACCTCTGCACTTGGTAGATGGCGAACACCACGAGATTGACGGCGTGAATTGTCACCTAAATTTGGGCGAGAAGATGCTGTAGAATTGATAGGACGTGTTTGAGATCCAGAATCCGAACCAGTCCGCGTTTTGCCCAAAGAATTATTAGGTTGGGTCTGAGTTACAGATCCGTTCCCTTCCCCTTCGCGAAAAGCCCAAGTAGGCTTTTGAGATTTTGACCAAGAAGCATGACCCGGTTTGTAACGTGCTCCAGAACCCTGTCCAGAAGCCACTGCAAATTCTCTTTCAACATCACGAGCCAATTGCATTGCTAGGTAACGGTTGCGAGGCTTGAAGGTACGCACACGAGAACGAATATCATGACGTAAACCACCAATGAAGTAACCTAGAAACTGTTGTTCTGGCAAACGACCACACTGTGAAGAATACAGTTCGAATTCAGCAATATATTCCTCTACTGATCCCGATTGTTTTAGGTCCTTTAATTCCTCAAACGGATTCTCCAAACGCCCACCTCCAAATCGAACCATCATCGCCTCACGGAGGTTCTCCCATGACAATTCCTCTGTTGAATCATGCCATAGGTTAAACCAATGGATAGTAGGGCCTTCCATACTCAATTTGGTCAACTGAATACGAACATCCTGCGAAATTCGTTGTACCTCAAAGTATGTCTCTGCCCGAGTGATCCATGCAACCGGATCGTCACCGGTAAATGCCGGCAACTCCACCTTCTTCGCAGATAAACGAAACTCATCCAGCGGTGAGGAAACTGTTGCACTGCTTGGCTGCGGCACTTCACGATGAGCCATTGCACGTTGAATCTCAGCACCAATGAACTCTCGTAACGCAGCAATGCTAGCCTCAACACCTTCCAACCTTTCTTCCACTGCAGAAACACGGTCAGCCATCTTAGGAGCTTTGGGCATGAACAATGGTAGGTCGGACCAATTGATAGAACAGAGGTATATATTAAAGAAAAGTATTTTATTAATTAATATGAAAGTAAAATAAATTCCAGAGCTATTGCTCCTCAGTCAGAGAAACTATTCTCTCACTGCCCAAACCCTAAGGTCAAAAACAGAAAATCAATTAATGCCTAACTACTGCCCCATACACTCCTCTTTATATGGAGAATAATCCCTAAACTAACTCCTATTTATATGGAGAATAATACCTAAACTAACTCCTATTTATTTGTGGAGTTTCCTATTCTTTCTCACATATACCCTCCATTGTTTAGGTCCAATAATATCTCTATTAACTAACACATTCCCATCATCATTTGTGGGATCCGATCCATTCCTATCATATATCATAATATCATTTAAAAATATCTTGATAATTTTTTAAGACTAATGTGATCTAGAGTAATTGATAACAAAACCCTCTGTTGGGAGCATGATGAGCCAACAACGGGCGGGGGCGAAAATGACACCCTGCCTCCATTAACCTGCTCTCTTTCTTGCAATACACGGCACAGATGTTGCGAATGGTATCCCATCACTGCAAAACACCATAGGAGAATGGTCTATTTGGCCGCAAACATAGCGAACAACTAATTCAACAAGTACAGTTGTTATTGAAACCTGGTCAAAAACTCCAAAACCATAACTAAATTCTAGTTTGGGCCAATGGAGACCGGACAGTAACACGGATTGACCCTATCAAATATATATATATATATATATATATATATATATATATATATATATATATATATATATATATATATATATATATATATATATATATATATATATATATATATATATATATATATATATAAGATTAATTGTTATGCATTATCGGTGTAAAAAATTTTACACTGCCAATGCATCACAATCATCCATTGATATTACTTTACAAGTGGTTAAAATTAAAATCAAACTTTTCTAACAAACCGACGGCTGTGATTAACTTGACAGTATAAAAAATCTTTACACAGTCAGTGTATATCAATTAAATTCTACACACACACACATATATATATATATATGTGTGTGTGTGTGTATGTGTATATGTACATGTATATATGTATATGTATATGTACACACAACACATATTGTAAGTAAAATTCAAATAGTAGTATACAGATTTATTTTATAATCATTTTTTTATGAATAAATTTAATATTTATTTTATAATTAGTAGTGATTATTAATTAAAAAAACTATCCAAGAGGGAATATGTGAGACGTCAACTCACAACTCAACAGAAAATGAGACTAGCCCATTGTATGCCTTAATGGAAAGGATAAAGAGGATAGATAGTTGAGAGAGAATAACAGGCATCACTCTCACAGCGCAGATTTAGGCACCCGACCCAAGAGTTCGTGTTTAACGCTACAACTTTGCAGGAACGGAAAAATAACCTGATTCAAACGTTTCTAGCTAGATCATGGGAGTGTCGGTTCTTACGCTCCAGGTCACAATTCTGACTATAATGCCTATATGCTCCAACTTGCAACTTTCAAATACATGTAATAATGTAGATAAGAACATTTTATTGATTAGAAATAGAAAGAATCATTGTAATTAGTACTTAAAACAATTAAGTTCATTCTAATTTGTATAATTACTATCTGGTCTATATATTTTCACAACACAAATTCACTCACATTTCTGAATCTTTTTCTTTTTATTAACAACCACAACTGAATGTCAAGCTTAAGCACCAAGAGTCCACAAACATTGTCATGTGGTTGCTCCAACGTCTTCCTCAAGTAGGGAAATAGGAAAGATAGTTGTAAATTATGTGAAGAGGACTAAAAATGCTAGAGCATTATAATCACTGACATCTGTCTCAGGGGAAAGATAATCACTGACATGAGTGTTATTGAGATATGATATTGTTTTTATTATTATTATATATTGTTTTATTGTTTTTTAATTCTTAGTATTATCTTTCCCCTAATTAGTGTAAACATCTTTTAGTGCCCAATAATTGTTTCCATGGTCCATGACTTAAATTCAGTCAAAAGTCACAAGGTGATGGTTAAGGTGAGGGGCGCAATATTTCTTGCCAAAGACGCTATGACTCTATCAGCATTGATATCGGCAGTGGTAACAGATCTGAGTAATCCTCCTTATATGCTTCCCTGAAACTAGATTTCTTAACTCTCATAAATCACACCATTTTGTACCATTAGTTAATATTTCTTAGTCCATATCATGTAGAGTTTGAAAATAGTCGAGAACCCCCTCACTGTAACTAATGATTTAATGAATATGGTAATCTTTAAAAATAAAGGAAATGTGAAATAAAAAATTAAACAAACTTGCTACAACAAAATAAGCACAAGAAACAGTTACTTACTTGTGTTTCTTGTGCCATACTGATTTGACCTGTGCATTTGCTAGTGGTAATTGGATTTAAAGCAAATAGAAATGCAGAGAAAGCATCCATATTTGGATAGGTCTGAAAAATGAATGTATCATATTAGAAAACTGTAAGGTATGAATATTGAAATATAATAGCAAAACAGAGAATTGCCAACCAAATTACCTTTCCAATATTCACATCATTCAAGCTATTTGATACTATAATGCTTGATAGACCAGCATTTACTGTGAACCTACATTCCATCAAAGTAAATAGGCACTTGCATATTCAGTAATGTTACAAAAGATACACTTGAGCTCCAATCCTTAAAGCATAAACAAATCAAAGTTAACCTTTGGATGATATATCCGCGATAGTTGAGAGTTATTAGGTGATAATCATCCTTACGCTCAAAATCTTCAATATCCCACAACTGAGTAACAAATAGTAGAAACAAAGTTGTCTGTCAGAAAATGAATCCTTATCTTGTACTAGTACATAGATCAAAACCATATTTAAAGTCGAACAACCTTCAATTTCTGGAAAACCAACTTATAAGACATTCTCTTTTCCAAATAATCAGGAACAGATTTGAGGATGTTAGTACAGCTTTGATCCCCTTCCATCTTGCAGTGACTATAAAAGAATTCACTTAAAGATTTTGCTTTCTGATTCAAACTTTCAAGCTCCTGCCTCACTTCCATCCCTTTATTGCAAGAAACCTAACATTAACCAATAAAATATTGCCAATTAAAATGCAATGGACGGCATAACATTAACTTGAAGGATCATTTTAAATTTTTAGTAAAATCAAGTTCTAAGGATCATTTTAAATTTTTAGTAAAATCAAGTTCTAAGGATCATTTTGAAAATTAATTCATGAAATATACCTTCATGTCAGTCCTTTTGAATCAGACAATTTAGCCTCTAAAATTGTCTGGGTGGAACTAATATGACTGTGAGTCTTAAAATCATGGATCATTTTGAAACTGAATTTCAAAATTGCTGATTCATTCAAACAATTATTCCCTCTGTCCCTAATCTTTCACCCTTTTAGGTTTTTGCATTTTTGTCCCGAAATTTTGGTTCTTTTAGGAAACCAAGATACAACTAATGATATTTTTCCTTTTGTACCCTTACAAACACCAAAAACATGCATTAAATGAATTTTACTTTTACTTAATGAATTAAAAGTAATGGTGTAAAGTTATCTACCATTATTATTTCTTAATGTGTGCCCAAAACTTAAAGGACCAAAGATTAGGGATGGAGGGGGTAATAATTAAAATTAGAACAACTAGTTGGTACATTCACTAAGGTATGCTATTTTTGTAACAAGTCTATTGTTACAAAAGTAAAAATAGGTGGAGATTACTAACCCCCTCATGTTGTGAAATCAGAGGAAGAAAAAGCAGTAACCTATCTCAGTGTGTTTCTTTCTTCGTTGTATTTCCAATAACAATACAAGGTTTTGAAGATCAGTTATAACATGGAAAGTGTATCAAGATAATTTTAAAGCTATTAGTATTACCACAAGGTCATTTTTAAAAATAACACAGAATTGTACCTGACATTTTCCTTGGGAATTAAAAATTCTTGCATTGATATGACTATCATCAGCTTGAATGTCAACCGGTCCACTCTTAGCGGAACATAGCATTGAATTTTTTATAATCTGAGCCTCTTGAAGCCCAGAACTCAGCTGTTGTGCCTTTTTCTGTGAATAACGAAAGTTTGTATCACCAATAGTAAGTGCTGCTAAATGCCAATACTAATGTGCAAGAGAGGATACCAGTAATCTGTCACGCTTGACATTCATTAATTGTAGCTTGGTCTTCTCATATGCAATATTAAAAAGCAACATTTTCACTTCCACAACTCTACAAAAGAAATACTCAACATTATCAACCATTAATGAAAAATCAACTCATAAGTTTGTGTATGAAACAACATAATACACAGTGACTTAGTCAAAGAGCATATACATACCTTTTGTGTCGGGTATCTTGAGGATCTGCAAATTTCTTTGGAATGAAAAAGAAGAATCGTGTCAATAAGAAACATGAAATTCTGAACAGAGCCAAGTTTGATTTTGAGAAATATATTTGTTTTCATTTTCAAATGTCAGTATAGGAAACAGACAATGTTGTCTCGAAGGAAGCAGTCTCTTAGAGGAAGTAATATGTACTAATCATTACAAATATAAGCTTCTTTGCGATATAATATAACTAGCGGAGTGCACTAAATTTGATTATCCAATAATCTACACACCTGAGATTGAATTTCAGAAGAAAGAATATCCCATTTCTTAACTTTCTGCAGATTAACCAAAATATCCTCCAGCCTGCCAATCTAAATATTGAGAGCAAAAACTGTATAAATAGCTATGATAAATAGTAAGCAACAACTTCCACAATTTTCTCTGCATGCTATTATTTTATACTTCTACAACCATATATTAGAACATACCGATCTCAAATTTAGCTTATCAAACGACGGAGAAAGCAACTGTTTTGTGCTGGTTGAGAATCTTTTTAGAATCTACAAGATAATTGAAAAGTAATGACTTAAAAGACCCAATAAAACAATTAAGTTCTAACTAACTATTAATAGAAAGCAGTAAACCATACATGGTCCCAATCATTCCACTCCTGATCTCCAAACTTTTCTCTTTCACTTCTCATATAACTTGTTTGCTCCAAAACAAATGGTAGGTCTCCATTCCCACGCTTATGAACCTCTGGACTTCTGTCTATCCTCCCTATCTTATCTATATTGTCTCCATCACTTAATACTGTGACACCCTTCCTCTTTTTCCCAGAAACCTCAATACCAGTTTTTGTAAGAGGACTCTGGGAAACTTGGAATGCCGGATGGTGGTTGTTAATAAAACCAACACCATGTCCATCAGAATTATACCTCTGAGACAGATCTTGGATATCCCTGGGAGGCTTTTGCAGGGAGGACAGCACAGTTGTTGCTTCTTGGATAGCATAGAACTGACATGCTCAACATCATAAAAGAAAAATTAGTCTTCCACTAGATGTGATGTTTTGACCTCTGTGGAAACACACCTTTACCCATACGTAATACGTTTTTGCAACAAGTAACTTTTAATTTTGTAAACAAACATTACCATGACAATATTTACTTGTCTAGATAAAACAGGGAAAATTTAAGTAGGGTTTGCAAACTTTAATGCTTAGGAAAACTTGACTTTGCCGAAATATAATTATACTTACGGAAGAAACCTTTCCTTTTTGTCTATCGTCTCCATTACTGAATATCTCGGCACCTTCCCTTTTTCCCCAAGAAGAAACCTCGATACCAGTTTCGGTAAGACTCTGAGCTGCTTTAATAGGGCTGCTTAGATCAAGAAATCTTTTAGGACTCTTGGCCGGTTTTCCCTTTAATGCCCCCTAAATCATCCAAGTATCAAATCAGGTTAAATCAATAAGAATTCAGAAGCATAGAACTAGCATGTTTAACATCACAAAATAAGAACTAGTCTTCTCCTGGAGGTAATGTTTTGACCTCTGTGAAGACAGAAGTCACGCCTCTTTACCCATACATAATACGATTTTGCAAAAGTTGAAATGTTAATTTTGTAAACAAACATAACCATGACAATTTTTACTTGTCTAGAAAAAATAGGGAAAACTGAAGTAGGGTTTACACTTTTAATGATTAGAAAAACTTGACTCAGCTGAAATATCACAACCATAAAAAGGGGGTCGTTGAACTTAAGGAGATAGATTAAATATCTAAATGAGAACGTAACAATTAATCATATATTTTTGTTGTAACTGACTCTGGAAGTCGTGCATAGAGAACAAATCAATAAAGGAGATTAATTAAATATCCATATTTGGAATCAAACTTGAACACTCCTTTTCTATCATTTTAGCAAATGATTCTAAATGCTCCTCAAACTAATACGATATGGAAAGGTTTCAGATGCATTTTCTTTTTAACTTGCATGAATACTAAACAAAAACTTCAGTCGCTTTCTTTAATTTTACTTTAATAAATTTGCTAACCTGTGCATCCTCAAAAGGTGAGCTAGGCTCATCACTGTTTCCAACATCAGACAAATCCAATTTTTTGGCCACAGTCCATCTGTCGTATTCAATGGTTTGTCCTAAACCACTACTAAGATATTCATTCTGCATTTCCATTTGCTTGAACTCGCCATGGCGATCACTTTGACATTCTACAGATGGAGACAAAGCATGGTCAAATGATTTTACAGGGGAAGAAAAAGGTTTGGCATGCGTAGCAGTTAGAATTTCATCTTTTCTTTTTTCAGCTGTGCCATTAGCCATGTCAAAATCTGCCACTCTTGTTATACGAGTCTTAACCAAGGGAGAAGCGCCAGTATCCACATGCATGAGATTTTTATCATTGTCAGAAACATTGGCTGAAACCAAACAATTTTTTTCCTCATCCTGTTTGGTGGCCACAGTTTCTGTATTTTGGCTCAACTTGCTAATACTTATCAAAGAATCAACAACATGATCGTCAGTAGTGATCAAATTTTGATGCATGTTATTCTCCAAAGTTAAACTATATGGCTGTTCTTCCAAAGGAGGAGTAAGGGTTCCAACCTGCTTGTTTTCAAAATCTCTTTCACTAAAAAAAGAAGTCCCTGGAGAGTAATTTGAAAACTTGTGTTTCAATTTGTCAATTCCTTCTTTGAGAGTAGATGTGTTGGGAGTAGTCTTAGGAGTTTTCAACTTTGAAATGCTTTTCCGAATGGACGACAAAGTCACACTATTTGCGACATGTACCTCGGGCACAGGCAAACCAGATTCCTCTAAGGGGGGAGTTATATTTCCAGTACATCTGAATGAATCAGGAGAACCCATAAATACTGGTTTGTTTGCAGAATGTGACAATGGTGTAAACTCGTGTACATGACTTCCAGTAACTTGATCAGACTTGTGATTAGTGTCAGTTCCTTGTCTCCTGTCTTTTGAAAACCTGTGTTTCAATTTGTCAATTCCTTCTTCGAGAGTAGATGTGTTGTGAGTAGTCTTAGGAGTTTTCAACTTTGAAATGCTTTTCCGTATGGACAACAAATTCACACTATTTGCGACATGTACCTCGGGCACAGGCAAACCAGATTCCTCTAAGGGGGGTGTTATATTTCCAGTACATCTAAACGAATCAGGAGAACCCACAGATACTAGTTTATTTGCAGAATGTGACAATGGTGTAAACTCGTGTACGGGATGACTTTCAGTAACTTGATCAGACGTATGATTAGTGTCAGTTCCTTGTCCCCTGTCTTTAGAACTACTCTCATTTACGGGGACTTCGCAAAAACCCTGTTTGTACCTAGCAGCCAAATCGAACTTATCACCTTCATCCATCTTTGGTGGGGTTCCTCTATTAGCCTTAGCAGAGTCCAATTGTTTACAAGCTAACGGAGTTGCATCAGTGACAAACTCCTTAGTGTTCTGAGAAAAACAAATATCAGTTATCAATTACTACTACCATGCATTTTCACAAGTCAACAGATGTAATAGCATGTAAAAGGATAGCCACAGCCACATTAGTATCATCATAAACCATGCACAACTACAACTTGACATATTACTAACTATGTGCAACTAACTAAAAAGTAAAGACCCTAACATGGGAAAAAAATAAATTTTGAATGAAACAATTCAACCTGGAGAACTACAACAGTCAACAAGAATAATAGAACCGAAGTTGATTCTAGTCCAGCAAAAGGCAAGATCTTTAATTCCAAAATCATCTACTTTGTTTGGATTGACGGAATGCAATGGAATGGAGTGGTATGGAATAAAATTTTAATTAAAATCGGATGAGGCGGAGTGGAATGGAATAAAATTTTAGTTCAAATCAGATGGAGCGGAGCAGAATGGCGTGGTATTTATTCCATTCCATTTCACCACTTACCACCACCATTTTCTTACCCTCGGATTTCGACATAATGAGAAAATGGCTTTGTTCCGTCTTAAAATATCCAAGCAATGGTGGAATGGAACTTCTAGTCCACTCTGGACCTTTCCTTTCCATTATGCTCCGCTCATTTAAAAATATCCAAACATAGCCTTTCAGTATTCCCCAACTATTCTAATTTCCAGTGTTTTTTCACTTAGAAAGACTTGACCATGAGACAAAGTTTAAGTAGAAACAAACTCCCTGCACTTAGAAATCATTGAACAAATGTAACAACTTTAGGCTATCATGAAAAACAAAAGAATGTTTAAAAGATTCTCAACCTTAGTTGAAGACTCAGAAGTAGAAGCAACTGCAGTATCATGGGTGATTTGATGAGCAGGAGAATTAGTTGAACATTCCAAATTGGGTAAAACCCCAGTATCATTTGCAATTGGTGAATGTGTGGCTTTTGAACCCAATGGGGAGACACCATCCAAATCCTTTTTTCCATAAGTCAAAATTGCAACCAACCCAGGGGAGAGTCTTCCATAATCATAAGATTCTGATTGTCCCACTATGCTCATGTAATCTGAGTCCCCACTGCCGCTCCTCAACACTGGAGACTGAGGTTCTTTCTTTTTACCGTCAGTGAGTTCCATGTAACTACCCAAAGTGTCGCTGTTCTGACCAGGTGTAGTCATGGTCCCGTCAAACCTAGTCGGCGTCTTGAGATCCCCAGAATCAGAGCGGGCGAGACTCCGGTAATGCATGGAAAAGGCTGTTGAATCCATGGTGATGTCGTCTGAGACACCTGAGTCTGATAACCGTCCCGGTTTGATGAAATCAGTAGACACAGGACCGCGAAATTCATCATCTGCAAAATGAATTTGTGAGAATTTTGAAACTAAGAATTAAACAGTTAGCTACATGAGATTAGGGCTCACCATCAGTATCGTCATCTTCGAGGTTAGTGCTGCTTCCGCCGGGAGAGGGGGAGCCGATTGGTTGCAGGAAAGAGTTTATGTGATCGGCAGCGTCCTCAGTTGGGTTTCGGTTGCGTTCGGCGTCTTCGTCGTCGCTGTCTCCACCAAGTTCGCTGAAGAGACCTTTATTTTCGGGAGGGACGTCGGACGAGGAGGAGGTGGAGTGGTCGTCATCGGGACGGAAGATGTGGACGGAGGTGATTTCATTGTCGGCGAAGCTGACGCGGCGTGCCCTTTTCCTGTGGAACGCATCTGTCTCTTCTTCAGTTTCGGAGTTGTTGGAAGGTTCAGTTGATGCCATAGCTATCTTTCTTCTCCTTCTCTTGTCTTCTCTTCTCAGTGTGTGTGGAAAATGCTTACTGAAAATTTTTGTGCGGGAAAATGATTTTGAGTGATCCTTGTTGGTTTCAAAAAGAATTCCCGTTGTGTTTGGTTTAGTAATTCCCCTTTCTCTCGATAATTTAACCTACCAACCCCATTTCATACTTGACATCCCATATTCAATATTTTAAAAATATCTTTATTACTATTTACTTTTAAAATTTATCATTCTTTTAAAAAATTTTACTTTTTTCTACTGAAGATTTTAAAATTTCTGATAATTTTTGAAATTTTCGATACACATTGTAACGCAAATTTTTTTAAAATTTTCATATTTATACTAAAAATTTATAAAATTCTGATACTTTATACTAGAAATTTGAATATATTTAATGAAGACCATAAACATTTTGGCACCAATACTAAACAAAATCAACTGGAAATTTCGCCTGCATTAGAAATTTTCAATGTCAGAATTGGAAGTTCAAAAATTATTGCTTTGTGCGGTTTGAAATCGACAGGGTTATCTACGAATTCGTGTAGCGATTGCACGCACTTCTTCACCACAGATAAAGTATGTTTTCTATATAACAAGTTAAAATTTAATATTTTCGTTGTGTTATATGATATTAATATTATTTTTTATGTAATGTAAACGACAAATATTTGAAAGCCAAGTTGAAGTATTAGTCTGGGCACAGCATATTGGCAAGCAACGTGGTATTATAGTTGTGGTTGTTCGTTCTAATACTGCAAATGGTCAGCGAGGTAGAGAGGATAAATTGATTATGGATTGTGAGGAATGAGGGATAGGGGAATTATAAAAAAAAAATACATTTGAAAGTAGTAAATCTTCATATGCCATTTATAGCATGAAAGTGAAATGTCCTTTTAGGCTGAGATCTTCATCAAGTGGTATTGGTTGGAAGATGATGGTTAGGTATGAGTTTCACAATCATAAACTATTTGAGGATTTAGATGGTCATGACATATTGGGTCGTATAAAAGATCATGAGAGACAGATTGTGAATGAAATGACGAAGTACAACATGGCTCCACGGTACATAGTTTCTACTTTAAGAGACAAAGATCCAAAAAACCTCATTAGTGCTACCCAATTGTATAAAGCTAAAGTTATGTACAATGCGATCAAGAGAGGTTCATTGGCAGAAATGCAAATATTTTTTACTCTTATTCATAAAGAAAAGTACATGTGTTGGACAAGAAATAGGGAAGACTCAAATGTTGTTGCTGATATCTTCTAGACACATTCTGATTCAGTGAAGTTTTTGAATATGTTTCACTTGGTGTTGATTTTTTATTGTACATACAAGATCAATAGGTAATGTGCATCTCGATCATACCTTGGTACCATTTTGACATACTTTGATTTATCAAATTTTTTTATTAATTGAATCGTGAACGTACAAGGATCGGTTACCACTGCTTGAGATTATTGGTGTAACGTTAACAAAGTTGATGTTTTTTGTAGGATTTGCCTATTTGGAACATGAAAGGAAAAGAACTTCACATGGGCACTTGGGAAGCTCAAAGATTTGTTTTCTTCCGAGAAATTGCTACCTAATGTTGTTGTGACGAATAGAGAATTTGCGTTGATGAATGCAATTCAAGTTGGGTTTCCAAATTCATCACATTTGTTATGTTTGTTCCACATTACCAAAAATGTTAGCATGGAGTGTAAGGAGTATGTTAAATTAGAAAGACATAAACAAGTCATGGATCTATGGAACAACATCATGTATGCTAATAGAGAAACTGAGTATCTCGCACACTTGAAGCACCTTAAGACTGTTTGTGTTGATATACCTTTATTTGTTAAGTATGTTAATGAAACATGATTGACACCTCATAAAGAAAGGTTTGTGGTTGCTTGGACTAACAGAGTCACTTATTTAGGGAACACAACAACGAACAGGTACACCAATTTATTTTCAAAGTTATTACTAAGCATAATTTATCATGTTATCTCACTTTAGTTTAATTATTGTGATTTATGGTGGAGTCTGCTCATTGGATACTGAAAAACATGTTGACTACAAGTCAGAGAGATTTATGCCGAAGTTGGGATGTTGTGAACACCATGTTGAAGTTGCAGTTAGGTTCAATCAGAGTGTCGTTTCAAAAAAGTATTGTCAATATTGAGCATCAGTATAACACTCTATTCTATGCCAACTTGCACGGTTTTATTTCAAGGTAGTGTATATAAAACATAGGGAAAACTCTACAAATGGTAATTTTTGTTGGTACAAACAATGATATTTGTGGTTGCTTCATTAGATCTACACATAGGTTACCTTGTGCGTGTCAACTTACTGGTTTCCAAATACAAGGCTTTCTTGTTCCTTTAGAACCAATTCATGTTTCTTGGAAGATATTACACATTCAAGAGCATGTTAACGGTCACGACGATAGTGGCACAAAGCTGAATTTAGAAGTAAAATGTGAAGAGTTAAAGGCACATTTCAATTATTTGGATATTGTAAGCCAAAGGGTATTGAAGAAAAAGGTTTAGGAACTGACACATCCATCCACAGCTTTTATGTGTCTATCAGCAGTGAAGTACAAGCCAAAGAGGGGAGTTAGGAAGAGCAGAAAGGGTGAAGAGAGTGATGTGCATCATGATCCCTCGTAGTGGGAGTATGGCGAGGGCTCGTATGGGAGTCATACTACAAAGATATCATGCATAAACCCAATAGGAAGTCAACCTTCTAGTATGTCAGGTCAAAGTTAATTGTCAAGTATGTTGGGTCAAAGTCAATCGTCAAGTATATCGGGTCAAAGTTAACCGTCAAGTATGTCGGGTCAAAGTCAATTGTCTTACGTATCTTCTAGGCATCTTTACTTGTCTCAGTTTCCTGGTTTCTTGCATCCATACATTGATGAGATTGTTGATGTGGGTGACGATGGAAATTATGGTTTTCGGGCTATCGCAACTTTACTTGGATGAGGCGAAGATTCATAATCGTTGATCCGGATGCAGTTGGATACTCAAGTTTATCAACACCTAAAATTATTTTCCGAATTGTTTTATGACACGGTTGCTGAAGTTAGGAATTCCTTAATAGTAGAACACTTGGGTGTGCAGGATAGAGATAAATGGATGTCAGTTTTTGTCATGGCTTACCCTATTGCAAGTAGGTACAATGTCGTTTTTATCTCCCTGTCACTGGGACTTAACATTACCTTTTTCCCTCTTACCATAGTTCCACTTATGTATACGAGCAGACATAAAATTATTGTTGTTGGTTTTGTCAATGGAAATCATTAGGTTCAAGTAAAATTAAAATATGATAGTCCATTGCCTCTCGTCACTGATCGTTGGAGACAGAACTGTACTGAAGAAGCAAAAGCATGAGAATCGGTATTTCTAGGACGAATTAGGCACTGGGAGGAAGAACTTAGTAAGTCATCTTAATTTTCTATGTAATCTTGTGGACATTGTATATTTATTATATGTGAAACCATTTATGTGGAAAAAATATTGAAATTTTTTTTTTAAGTTCTGGACATATACCAAAAATTTCAAATTTCTGAAATTTTCAATATACCTGAAATATTAAATTTCTGAAAGTTTTGTCCATTTTACGTAAATATTATACTTTTGGTATAACTTTACTAGAAATTAATCCCAAAATTTTTTAAATTTCCGATACGTATGTCAAATGCAAGTCCTGACACAGTAATTTCTGTAAAATTTTCAGTATAATGATGAAACTTCTAATATCAACTCAAAAATTTCATATTTTTCGATATTTTTTGAAGGAAAAACTGGAATTTCACTTCAAGTGAGGGTGTCAGGTATAAGTGGGGGTGGTAAGTTAATTTCCCCTTTGTCTCAAGTGTGTGTCTCAAATAAAAAGATTATTGGTTTAAATGAGTCTAAAGAATCTATGTAGGGAGTATTGATGACATATGTGGAATATGTTCTTAAGCTAAATGCATATGATAAATTTATCTTAGTTTTTTTTTCTTTTTGATTTTTGATTTTACTATTATAAATATTTATGTGTTTTCAAATACTAGTTTTTTATTTTAAAAAATCAAAGAAGAAGAGTAATCTGAACAATAAAATTTTATTTGAAGAGAATTTGACTATTTAATATAAAGTATTGATTATAGATGTAACTATTCCAAAAAAAAAAAGAGGATAGAATGAGACATATATGGATCCACATATCAAGTAGTTGTATTTGAAAGGTGAGAAACAAATGAGTTCATAATACAATATCTTGGAGGGGGTTTTGGACAATCACGAGAAAATAAAATTGATTTGTGAAATAAAATGGCACAAAAGATTAAAAAATGGTTAAATATATGTTGGAATGATAATTGTGATGGTGGAGCGAAATTGTTGATAGTGAAGTTAGAGTCAGAAAAGTATTTTAAATAATGGTTTGAGTGTAAAAATATTGAAACTTAATACAATTATAATAAAGTTAATAAAAAATCAAGAATGTAATGAGTGACGTAAGAATTCAAACGTTTTCCGGATTATACCAATTCTTAAGAACAAAAAAATGGAGAAAAATATATGCATAGATTTGTTTAGGGAAGAAAAAGAAAAAGAGAATATTCAGATCAAGTAAAGTGTGTTAACGATGAAGAAGACATAGCGTTAGTTCACTAAAATGATATAAATGATATGTGGAAGAATTGTTTCTATAATTTATTTAATGAAAGATATGATATCTCATTGAACTCTAATACTCTTAGCATTGTAGAAGATGGTTGAAAAAATTATTATTATCGTCAAATTCAAAAATACAAGGTAAGAGATATGTTGAAGATGATGACTAATAATAAGGAGGTTAGATCACACAACATACCTATTGAGGTGGGGAAATTTTTTGGAAATAGAGATATTGAGTGATTCACGACTTATTAATGAAATTATGAGGTAAAAATAAATGTTAGATGGATGGGTAAAAAAACACTTTAATTTTGATTTATAGGAACAAG